CCTTGTGGCACTAGGCAAGTTCAAAACGTAAAGTGCCCTGTATCCTCCTGTTCCCTGATAGCCTGATGCACAGAAAGCTGACACACTTCAGAGTGTAACATACTTCTACAAAAAAGAAGAGAAGTAAGTGTGCTCTTTTTGCAGTAGGAGAACACAGCTTGCCAGGAATGTGAACATGTATTTAAGGGGGGAGGGGGGGAAAATCACAGCTCTTTGAGCTATGCACCTTTCTATTTCTATAGTGGCATCAATAAGTAATTTAACTTTTTTTTCAGGATATAGTAGTCACTTCAGCATGAAGATCTGTGTTTACTGAAGATAGTTTATTTTCTTGACATTCATGCTGTATGTAGAAATGAATTACCTGAAATCCATTGCAAATTATGTGTTCTGTACTTATAGTCATTGTTCAAGTAATTCTGTAGAGTATATGTTCTTCGTGAATCAGGTTCAGAGGTACTTTCTGAAAGCAAGAGACAGAAGAGATTTTGATGTCACTGTAAATTGTTCCACCCCAGCTTCTTAACCTGATCACTAAAACAAGTGGGTTTTTTGTTGCCAGTTATTGATGTGTTTTAGCTAACCAGCTCTTAATTATCAGTAAGAAGGCACTAAAGCTTTATTGCAAGATAAATTCAGCATGCATAAAATAAAGGAGTATCAGTGAGATCACTCAACAGACTCATGTAAAAATTACAGATGCCTTTTCTCTGTTGGTATTTTACTTTAAGGTACACAACATCTGTTATCTTTTGAGTAAGTGAAAATACCTTTCTGACAGTGACAAAAATGAACATAAGACTTCTGGCTTTCTTGTCTCAGGAAACACATATTTATACTCCTTAAAAATTTAAAAGAAGCAATCTCAGTGCCCCTCCCCTCTAGGAACTTCACTGCAGAACCCTGACTGCTAATATTTGCCTAAGACATCAACAGTCAGCTTGATCATGCAAGCAGAGACACACATGCTCATGTTTGAGAGTGGTGGATGGGTAAAGCTGTCCAAATGAATGAAATGTGGCATCCAGGTGAGTACATGTACAGACTTTGAAAGATATCCTAAAAATAAAGTGGCTGCTGTACTTTATCACATATTCCATAATAATGTTGTTCCTGCTCACGAACCCTTCAACTGTGAATCATCTGCTTATCATTAGACTAAAATTTCAGAAATGTGTCAAATAAAAAAATCTGAGTAGATGTAAAATTTTCAGGGAAATCTAATTTAAAAAAAAAAAATCACAAACGCTTACTAATAAGCTTATGGTGAAATAACTGGCTAAATATTTATCCCTCTTTATGTGTTTTTCATGTATTTTAAGGTTCACTGCAACATTAGTATTTTCACTACAAAATTAAAGGCAAGTAACTGGGTTACTATGAAAAGACTAAGTGAAACTTTGAACCCAGTTAAGCTAATGAGTTTGGTCATCAGCTTCAGTGCACTGCAGTCAACATCTGTGAAAAATACTTCTTTCTTACTGGCTGCAGTGCACAAGCTACTCTTTTCAAAGTCTGAAAGGTTCAAATAATAAGAATTTATTTGTGAGTCTTTGTGATACTTTTCCTCTGAAAACAAAGACTACAATTTTTAAATTCAGGTGTGCAATTCTCACCCTGCTTCTTTTCCCCCCACCCCTTTTTTTTTTTTTTAATGGAAAGCTATAAACTACCTCATACAAATCTACACAGTCCAGAATGGAAGCAATTTTTATTTCAACTGTCTAAATCATTCTTTTTTTGTTACTACCAGTACAAATCAAAATACCTAGGATAAAAACACTCAAGCACAGATGTGGTGACTGATCAGGAAGAGAATAACTTGCCCCTATAAATTCTGAGAGTCACAGTCTTTGAGACACTTTTAACAAAAATTTCTTCTTTCATTATGGTAAAGAAAAAGAGTGCAAAGTCCTTGGGGACAAACACACAGAAAAGCACTTCACAATAATTTTTGCAGGTTATCTTTCTGCAGGTTAAATACACGTGACATCTGGAACATGACAGAAAGATAAATAATGTTAGCTATTACAGTTTTACTTCCAAAAATAATCGCATTGCATATATCCAGCACTCACTGCATAGCCACTGTTGCAACAAAAGTCGAGCCACAAAAAGAAATTATTTTAGTCTAAGATGCTCAGCAAAGGTTAAAAAAATTTGCTTGCTCAATTCCATCTGAAATTTGACTGTTCTAAAAAATTACTAGTCTAGATTTCTTTCTCATGAAGTTTCCGTGAAAATATTAACTTCTCAGGTTAATTATTCTATATTAACTGAATATTTAATTTGATGGATTATGAACAAGTGTGCATTTGATATTCATGCACAGTTGTCTAGTTGGGAATATCACTTCTCTCCCTCCTAATTGAGTAAGTGTCATTTTCAATTAGAGGGGCTTCAGAAAGCAACAAAATTCTCTCTTGGAAAAGGAGGAGCAATTTAAGACAGGTGGCTGATGAACAGGTTTAGGGATTTTTCCAAACTGACGAATGTTTTCCCCCCTGGTGACACACATATTTTGCTGAGGTCTCATTACTAAAAATCAGGCCACTATTAAGATTTGTTGGCTGTGTATAAAATTAAAATTTCATTTTCTGTCAACACCTTCCACATAGTAACTTAATATGAAAACATACGCCAAGCTGTAAGGGTATAGTAATAAAAGTTCTAGTTGAAGTATTTTCTTAATTTATGAGATAAGTAAGAATGTACTGGTAGTGGCCTGTCTACATTATGCCACCAACCAAAGATACTTAACATACATTGAATTCTGCATTTTGGTTTTTCTTGTTCAGATTCCATTTCAAAAATGTGTCAAACAGGTTTATTTTGACAAAATAAAGTAGCTGTTGACATTCTAAGAGCATTTTATTGGCTTTCAAGATTGGATACTGGTCAATATATGTTCATATTTTAGCAAAACAGCTTTTTTCACGCTTAGGTTCCTCAGAGAGGCTGTAAAGGTTGAATTTTCTTGCCACTTCTCTTTTTTTACTATTCCAGATACAGACTACTTTTTATAAATTCCAAATTACTAGCTCTTCATCTCTACCCTGTTCTCACCCACAGCAGTACATACATATTTCCACTGTCATAATAATATGCTGAAAATATTTATATTATAATACTCCTGTTACTACAGCAAAAACTTAAGTAAGTCCTTCTGGGCAGAAGGCTCTTAACCTCTCATGTAAGTAGTACTCATACTCATGAAGTTGATAAACAGCTTTGTTTCAATTTTTGATTTTTCTTTTTTTTAATATGTCACCCTTTCACAAGAGAAAAATTGAGTCGGTGTAGGTGTAATGTGTAAAGTAAACAAGAATTTAACTATTGTGTGAGGTTTATGGTATGACACATCACCACACCAAAATCTAAAGTTGTTGACAAATTACTTTTGGCATATGTATTGTTTATTCCCCAGTGTTAAGGCACATTTTACTAATTTCCATATGTAATAAAAAAGAGCAAGTAATTATGTAACCAACTTAAGAGAAATGGAAAGCTATAAAACCAGTAATAACGGAAACTTTACTGCATGTTCACCCCTACCAAGAGAGACTGGAAGAATCACAACAAGGGAAAGACGAGTACAAGCACAATGCTCAGCAATAATGAGAAAGAAAAGGATAGAGAAACATTAAAAATCAGAGAAGGTGAACGAATATTGCAATTTTTAAGTGACAGCAGAACATGAGCAAGAGTGATCTGCAATCTAAGAATGTAATTTAGGAGCAGCATGAGAGATGCAAGAAGGGAAACCTGACTGATTCAGTAGTTAGTCAGAAATGTAAGTGACATTCCAGGCTATTTTTTTTTCCAAACCTTCCTTCTTCCCCCTTTCTCTTCCAACATTGTGCATGAAAGCACCCAAAACCCTTCTCCCCTACACTCAAGCCTCCACTGCCCGAGATATGTGACAACTGGAGCAGAGAAATGGATTTCCAGCAAAGAAGAAAGTAAAAACGACTCTGCTGGGTCAGGCCAAAGGTTCACTTAACCCAGACTCCCATCTGATTACCAGTGGCTGATACTGGCCACCCCCGAGAGACCGTAACCAATAGGTGAGTGCTGTGACACTTCCTGGGGCAGTTCCCCCCCTCCCGGCATCACTCCCTGAGGCTGCAGACACTTCCCCAGGGGGAGGTTAACTTTGTAATCAATAGCTCTCAAATTTGCCCCATCTCATTCAAAGCAAGGAAATAAAAATAGCAGAAGTGTTCTACAGATAGCAATCCACTGCCGGTAATTCTTTTTACATTACATTACTCAACATTTGAATTAAGGTAGATAACCAAAGTAAATGACAGTTACAGAAGTCAAGGTCATATAGCAGGAAAAGAT